GCCGAGCTCTCTCCCAGGCCTGCTGCCCTGTTCACACTGGTGCATGAAACTCCGGGTGCACAGAGCCCCAGTCACTTAAACTAGTATCTTGGTTTGAGTGAGTTAAATTCCGGAAACCCTGGTGTTCCTGGCACCACCGCCGATGGCGAAATAGGCAAATACTGGGGTAGGGCCTCCCCGATGCCAGGGTGAGTGCGGGGCAGAATCCCGATCCCTGCTCCCACCGAGGCTGCATCGACCCCCCCCAAGCCGGGGGATGTGGTGCAATGCAGGGGATAGGAGAGACCCACAAATACATGCAACTGCAAACAGCGCTTCCATGAAGGGATCCCATCCAGGAGGGTCTCTTGTATGTAGCACTCTGGAATGGTTACTTGATGAAGGGTTAAGAGTGTATTTTAATTATAAATCGGCTTAGAAACACTGGTTAAGAAAATGTACAACCCTGAAGAGCTCTATCATGTATTCCAGGGGTTCCCAAACTTTTCAGAATCACACCCCCTTTTTGATTTTTGAGAAACCCTCACACCTGCCCCCCCAAAACTTGTTGAGCAAAAAAAAAAGAAAGGAACTGACCAGGCCCAAAAAACAGTCGTGGCCCCTTTGATTCCCAGGACCTGTGTAAAAACAAAGGTACCAATACTCCAGGTGTGTGTTCCAGTGGACACCCAAGCCAGGAAAAATAGAAAATACTGGACATTTCACATGGTATTTTCTGAATTTTTTTTACCAGACTGACCAGGCTCTTTCTTGGGGAAGGGGGCTAGGTTGCTTTGCACCCCCCACTGGAATTTCTTCACACCTCCTAGTTTGGGAACCTATGCTTTAATGTATCCTAAGAATAATTGTTCTTCCTCTTCATGGGATTTTTTGGAGATTGTTGCTTTAATCTTTGTAACTCATGATCAAATGAAGCATGCCTTTAATACAAACTTTTTGCAAATAAACCTCTGACAAACCTCAGGGTATATCAAAACACATGTAACTGACATTTTTTATTCACAAGTTTAGTGCTTTCAGTAAGGTACCGTCTGCTTGCCCAGTCTTCACCACCTGGCATGCAATGGAAAACACGCTCCATTTTCTTCAGAAAGACAATGCAGAAGAGGGGGGGGGGATGATATCATTTGTTTCATTTGGGCTCAGGGATTTGGGTGGAAGAGGATGAACAGGGAGTGGGAGGGAAGAGAAGAAGACAGTGGGGTGAGGGCGTGGCCTGGAGGGGAGAAGGGGTCGAATGTGTGTTGGGCACAGGGAGAAGATGAGGGTAGGAAGGTCACCTCCCCAGCAGAAGCTTCACCCACCACCCTGCGTTCAGTGTTTGCATAGGTCCCCCAGCAGCCTCTTACTCTGCTTAGGGAGTTTCCACAAGCTGCTGAAATAAGCAGTAATTGGATCTTTGTTTGACCAACTGCTACCTCCAGGGTTCTCACACATTAGGCAAGTCTTACACTGCCTATGTGGGCTAGGTACATTTCCAGGGAAGGAAAGGACACCCAATGATTATTAGTCTATCATGTCTCCAAAACCTTATCAGTGACTCATAACACAGAACAAAACTTCATGTTAAGAAAGAGGGTGATTTGCCCACCAATTACATGTAGCCAAGTCTGGAGGGTAGCTTGGCCATTGTTTAACAACTCAGATCAACACTACATGATGTCTTAGGTCAAAGTGAAAAAAGCATTGTATCCAGTGGAAGCAGCAGGCTGAATGCAGACATCAATGTGGGAATTTGTTCAAGACACCAAAAAATGTCCAGGTACTACCAATAGCCAAGGCAGTCAGCACCTCAGGTTTTATCTCCAAAGCCATAGCATGGGATCAAACAGCTGACCCTCGCTGATCTATGAATGGAAGCCTCTTTCTTTCCTATTATGGCATCACTTCCTAGATGCACTATTTGGCCTTTTCCTCTATGTGATGTCATGCCTCACTCTGATCTACTTCCTGGAAACGGAAAGTGCATTCCGTACAGACAGGACTTCCAGTGAGACAAAGCCACAAAGCGGCATTCGGAGGTAAGCTGTAAACACATGAGTTACTGCTACTAACAACCCACTGACAGGACAAAAAACAGGGATGGGCAGAGTAAAGGGGAAAGAAGGAAGTACTGAAGGGCTTGCATGGTTACAGAATAAAGTCATTGGCTACGAAGAAGGGAGAGCATCAGCAGAGGTGGGACAGAAATGCTGCACCTCGTGGTTCTGTCTGCCAACATCCCCCCTGCAAAATTCACCACACCTGACTCCCACGTGTCTGCCACCTTCAGAGGTAACAACTATTTGCTCCCTATTTCCCTGGAGATAAGTCGATAACCCTTTGCCCGTCTCAGGTGCATTTTGTCTCTGCACATCAAGGGCCTCCTGCTGTTCCGAGCTGAGTGGTACGGAGGCAATGAATCTACTTAGTACTGAAGGACAAGACAAGAAGCCGCCCTCCCCCCCATGAGCTGTGCAGCGGGGTTTGTAACAAGGCAGGGCTTCCCCCTTCTCGACAAGGCCTCCAACACACCCCTCTCTCTTTTCTGCTGCTTTCTTGTAGTGGCTTCAACAACAAGGGCCTCCTGCTGTTCCGAGCTGAGTGGTACGGAGGCAATGAATCTACTTAGTACTGAAGGACAAGACAAGAAGCCGCCCTCCCCCCCATGAGCTGTGCAGCGGGGTTTGTAACAAGGCAGGGCTTCCCCCTTCTCGACAAGGCCTCCAACACACCCCTCTCTCTTTTCTGCTGCTTTCTTGTAGTGGCTTCAACAAAACCTCCCCCTGGCTCCTCCCCATGCCCAGTTCTGCCCTTCCCTGGGTCGCAGCTTTTCTGCTCCTTTCTTGTAGTGGCTTCAACAAACCCTCCCCCTGGCTCCTCCCCTTCGCTCTCCGGCTCCCACAGCCGCCCTTCCCGGGAAGTCTGGCAGTCCTGCTGTGCCTGCTTCTATGCCCTGTTCCACACCCAGGGCTTTTCTCCCTGGATGCCCCTTCCAGATCAGGTCTCAGGCACTCTCTTCCTCCTCGCCCAGGGGCCCTGGCAGCCTCCAAACTCCCCTTCAGCTGGCCTCCCTTTCCCCGGTGCCCTCAATGCTGGGTCAGCTGATGCAACCCACCTGCACTGGCCCTGCTCTCTGAACAGCCTCTGTGACTTTGTGGGGGGAGGCTTAGGGGGGGAGTCTCCAGGATTGCCCGGGGTTAGGGCCTTCAGGAGTTAAAGGGGCTCACAGGAGCATTGTTAAGGCATCTGCGCCAAGCAGAACACAGGTCAAAACCAAAGCCAGGGAAGGAAACGTACCTTTGTAGGCACAAAGGCCAAGATTTCAAACACAGGTCAAAACCAAAGCCAGGGAAGGAAACGTACCTTTGTAGGCACGAAGGCCGAGATTTCAAAGTGTCTGAGAGATTCAGATGCCTCGATTTTATAAAAATGAAAGGCAACTGGCCCTCCAAATCCCTGCCAAAGTTTGAAAGTTTAGACTTGTGTGTCATCTTTGACCGTCAGGGCAGGCCCCTGGCCTGCAGGGCAGACTAGATGAACATAGTGGCCCATTCCGGCCTTGGAACCTAGGACTCCACGGCACAGCCTGGCAGTGGAAAGCTGGGGGCATCCGCGGTATGTCTAATCTCTCCTAGATGTCACAAGGAGCACCAGAGTCGTGCAGAAGGAGCAGAATCCCACCTGGAATGAGGTAAGACTCAGCTAGCAAGTGTGTTCCCCCTCTGCTCCAAATGTGGCACATGCGCGCAGGCTGCCCCGAATCTACCAGACTGATGTGCAAATTCTGCTTTGTCGGAGGGTGATTGCACTGGCGTGTACGTGTGGGTCAGTCCACCCCTCAGACCTCTGGGCCAGTCTACACGCTGCTAGCCCATTGGTCAAGTTTAGGCTTGAAATGAGGTGAAGATTTCTAGCCAGCAGAGGGGTGAAGGTCTGGAACAGTGCTGGACCGAGCCATACTTGCACCCTGGGCAGCTGCCCAGCTAACCCCCGCTTAATCCGGCCTTGGTCTGAAACAAGCTCCCAAGGGGAGCAGTGGGGGCAAAGACCTACCTGAGCTTGGTAAGTTTATGGCGGGACGGATGAGCTGCCCCCAAAGGCATGGAGCTGACCTATGACTGCTACCAGCAAAGATCTGCAGTGGCCAGAGATGGGACACAGAGTTACTGCAAAGGATCCCTTCCCAGCTATCCGCCTGGTGGGTCTTGCCCACATGGGCAGGGTCTAACTGGTTGCTGTATTCGGGGTCGGGAAGGAATTTCCCCCTGGGTCAGATTGGCAGAGAAACTGGGATGAGGGAGAGTCACCTTCTTTGCAGTGTGGGGCACAGGTGTGTAAATGGCCATTCTGGGTCAGACCAAAGGGCCATCTCGCCCAGGGTCCTGGCTGCCGGCAGCGGCCAATGCCAGGGGCCCCGGAGGGAGAGAACAGAACAGGGAATCAGCTGATCCCACCCCGTTGCCCGTTCCCAGCTTTTGGCAAACAGAGGCCAGGGACACCCTCCCTGCTCATCCTGGCTAATAGCCATTGATGGATCAGTCCTCCATGGATTTATACAACTCCTACGTGCACCCTTCGCTGGATTTCAGAGCCCACGCACCAGCCGGACTGGGAACTTTCCCACTGCTATTCTTAGCGCTGTCGCTGAGCCCTGGGGGCCTGCGTCTCTAGGCCCAGGCTCTGGATTTACTACTGCAGGTGTGTCTTCACAGTGTAGACATACCCAGAGAAATGGCCAACGTGGTGTGAGAGGTCAGGTCACAGAGATCCCCTTGGGACTGTCACCCGATGTGCTAATCATACCACTGAGTCCACCTGCCTGCCCTCGGGGGCGCCCCACCACCTGTCCTGATGGGCCAGAAGCTCTGGCCTCCCCCAGCCATGGCACAGGGTTGGAGTAAGAGCCCCCCCAGCAGAGTAATACAGACACTGAGAGCAGCTTAGGGGAGGGGGGGGCTCAGTTACAGGGACTTGCCAGCACCTGGGAGCATGGCCCCAATGAGACCAAACCCCCAGATAAAGCCACTTGATTCCGTATAAAAGTTCTACGCAGAGAAAGATCAGGTCAGTCCCCGTCGCCAATGAGAGATGCCACCATCTGTTCCTCCGCCCCCAGGCAGCAGTTACTGGCGCTGGATGACAAACAAAAGTGATTTTATTAAGTGGGATCCGAGTGGCTGCAAGCGATGACAAATCAGCCCAGTAACTTACTTGGAACCAACAGGCCAGCTGAGCCCAGTGCATGAAGAAACCTTGTGAGAAATGACGCTTTGTAACTCCAGTCCCTATCTCAGGGGAGGTCCAGGTAGCGGAGTTAACCCAGTGTCAGTGCGACCAGAATTGGCCCCGCGGCGCCAGGTGATGGGCATATTGTGCTGCTTCTCCTGCAGACGCTGGTGTGGCTCCTGGCAGATCAGCCCCTGGACTGCGCCTCCTTCCTGGACGTACAGCTCCGGGAGTGGGGTTGCCCAGCTACAGAAAGGTGAATCGCCAAGAGCAAGTAAAGACTGAGCCTCTTGGGCTCTCTGGGGGCTGGTCCCTCGTGTTCCCACCCTCCTCCACCCACACATACTCCAGCATTTCCCTTCCAGCCAAGGAGACTGGCGTGGGGCGGAGGGGGGGGGGGTTCTCCCTTGTTGCCCCTTCCAAAGCTTGGTCTTAACTAGGACCGTGGGTGGGAACATGCTGCCTAACCCTGACCCTTCTGCTGCCTTTCCTGGGCAAGAGCAGGACTCAGCGTCACTTCCACGTCACAACAATTCTGCCCTCCCCCTACAAGCCCCCTCAAAGTCTTCATGTACCTGCCCCGCTCCCGCCCCAACCGGGTCCTCCCTTGTTGCCCCTTCCAAAGCTTGGTCTTAACTAGGACCGTGGGTGGGAACATGCTGCCTAACCCTGACCCTTCTGCTGCCTTTCCTGGGCAAGAGCAGGACTCAGCGTCACTTCCACGTCACAACAATTCTGCCCTCCCCCTACAAGCCCCCTCAAAGTCTTCATGTACCTGCCCCGCTCCCGCCCCAACCGGGTCCTTTATATACCACCCTCTCCCCCGGCAAGCCGCCTGGACTCCATGAGCGGTGCCCCTTCCTGTGGCTGGGGAGAGGATGCTGGCGCTGCTGACGAGCCGGCGTTTCTATCCGCTAGGGAGCTGGGCTCTGTTACTGTAGCGCTCACATCTCTGGCGGCCAAACCAAGCCGCAGCCCCCCCCTGCCGGCCCTGCCCCTTCTGGACCGTGGCCACCAGCCAACAGGCGTAAGTAAGAGGGCACCCTGGGGTGTTAATTCAGATGCAGTAAATGAGCCAAAGAGGGTAACAAGACCCAGTCATTGTCCAGAAATGTGCAGGGCTGGGGGTGCAGCACCCTGTCCAGGGGGAGCTAGCTGAGCTGCTGTTAGGCCAATCCCATTTCATTCCAGGCGGTGGCTGGGATTCAGCCGGAACTGGGAGCGGGCGTAAGTAAGAGGGCACCCTGGGGTGTTAATTCAGATGCAGTAAATGAGCCAAAGAGGGTAACAAGACCCAGTCATTGTCCAGAAATGTGCAGGGCTGGGGGTGCAGCACCCTGTCCAGGGGGAGCTAGCTGAGCTGCTGTTAGGCCAATCCCATTTCATTCCAGGCGGTGGCTGGGATTCAGCCGGAACTGGGAGCGGGAACCCCTTCCTACCTTCCCGGGCTCTCTGCAGGCTCTTCCGGCTGCCGGGCGCTTTGTCCCAGCCC